CAAATTTGTGGCATGTGAAAAAGTTTATTGTTCATGTATTGTTCTGACCCAATTTGTCATTTTTAATATTTTTTGTGAAATTTCTCTTGACGAGGTGCAGATGAGTCTGGGCTCAGAAATGGATATTCGTAACTTTAACTAATATTGTTATATTCCCTAAAAACACTAATATTCTTATAGTTTTCCTTATTTACCTTTCATATTTGATGGCACTTTAATTTCTTTCCTAGTTTATAGAAGTGAAATTCCAAAATTGACCATCAGAATAATAGCTGATCATACCTTACCCGCCAAAAGAAAAAAAAAGCATGATCATACCTTGCAAGAGTTAATGCTAATACCAACCAGTGATCATAAAATATTGACGGCTCCTGCCGATTTGGGAGGGTGTTAAAAAGCTCGTTATTGGGTTTGCAAACGCCATGGATCAACAACTACACATGCCCTTTCGCACATGCCGTGCTAATCATCTCGGAACTGGATCTGAATGCTTCACGGGTGGGGGAGGGAACACATGCCACATGCTGGTGCCGGCGCCTATGCAGGCCATCCGTCGCTGCTCGGACGGCCGAGATCGCGTCACCATAAGCGATGATTGGATTCAGAACACTATAGCAGATGGTTGTCCACTAGGAGTATAAATGATATACGTACGTGACCAATGGTTAGTGGGAGATTCAGAGGTTCTACTTTGGGCCAACTCCAACGCGCGATCCCAAACGGACGTCCGTTTTATTCAGATTTTATCCGTTTGGGGGTGGCAATGGGACCGTGTCCGCCCGGATTCGTGGATGCGGCGGTCTTGCGCCCAACGCGCGAACGCATTTCGGCCGCATCTTGTCCCCGTGCCATGCAAAGGTGAGAAACAAAGGATTTGAAGCCGCGGCCGCGGTTCACGCTAGTTCACGCCGGCCGGCAACACAGCCGGCGACCTACAGTCTAACGCCGGCAAAGCCAGCGGCCGGCACAGGAGCCAGCCTTCAAAAAGACAAGTTTCACGCCGGCAACAAAGCAAGCGGCCGGCACAGGAGCCAGCCTTCAGAATGAACAAGTTTTGTCGCCGACAGCAAAGCAAGCGGCCGGCGCAGGAGCCAGCCTTCAAAAGAGACAAGCTTTCTCGCCGGCAACAAAGCAAGCGGCCGGCACAGGAGCCAGCCTTCAAAAGAGACAAGCTTTCTCGCCGGCAACAAAGCAAGCGGCCGGCACATGAGTCAGCCTTCAAAAAGGACCGCCATCGCAGCCGAGATCTCACCTAGATTATGCCGTCGCGGGCGAACATCTCCTTCTGCCTTTTCGTGAACCAAGCCTTTCTCTCCGGTGACATGTTGTTCTTGTCGATAATCATGATCGCTAGTGCCACCTCCATGGCTTTTTTGGCGGCATTGGTGGCCTCGATCTCTAACTTCTTGAGTTGAGCGACCTCCTCGATGTCAAGCTTCCTCTTCTTCACGGCCTCCTCCATGTCAAGCTTCTCCGTTTGAAGATCTAGGTATATCTTCATTTGCTCCTCCTTCCCTTTGCTCTTCCTCTCCTCCCGCACTTCCTTTTGGTTCAGCATATGCTCTAAAGTTCCTTGCAAGGCTATAGAAGACGCATCACGCTTCTCGTCAGACTTCGAGCTTGTGTTGCCCCTGGGCCTTTTGAGCATGTCTCCCGAATCACCCTCGGCCGCCTCCTTCTCTCCTCTCTTATTCCTATGAGCATTGTATTGGTCCTTGAACTTGGGGCAATCTTTCATGAGCACCCAACAATGTGTGAGAGTGAATGGCTTGTCTTTGTGTCGGGCCTTGAAGGCTTCCAAAGATTGGAATGCCTACAGAATTAAACATGCGGCCACAATTGTAACATGAAAGGACATAGAATGCATCAAACTTAAATGGCATGCCAACATGAATGGACGCATGATGGAAAAGAGAGAGGTTCATACCAAGTCACCCAGGCCTAGGCCGCTCACGGGACGGGCTTTGACGCTCTCAAGTGCGGCACAATATTTGTTGCATTCTTGTTGGATGAATCCCCATCTTTTTTGAATTGAATTGATGCCACGAATTCTTGTGAATTGGTAGGGGGCAAACTTTCGCTCATGAAAGTTCTTGTGAACTCTTGTCCAAAAGACCACTCCTTTTTGCTCGGCACCTTTGATCCTGGCCGATTTCCTTCCAACTCTCGCAAATCAAAGTGTTCTCGGCTTGGCTATATGATCCCGTGCAAATGCTCTTCCTCCTCTTTTGTGCTTCAGCCTTTTGGGTGAGCTCGTCGATGAAACTCAATGGATCCATGGAAATGCCGACCTCTTCTTCTTCATCTTCACAATAGAAGTCATCATCTTCATGCCACGAGTTTCCATGGTCGTCCTCATCATCATCAACATCATGACCGTTGAACTAAGAGTCATCATAGGTACCATGGCCATCCTGGCTTTGGGTCGCATCGGCATCAAAAGGTTGCTCTTGGCCGTCAACTCAGAACGCCTCACCACGGCCCTCGAAGATGACGTTCTGCATGAACGAGGAGTAGTAAGGGTCATCGACGTCTGTGTAGGCGGTGGCATATCGCCGAACAGCTTGCGGGCACCGGCAATGTTAGCCGACTCGAACGACAGGGGTTGCATCCTTTGCGCGATGTCTTCACAATGGCCAGCACCACTGTACCCTGGCCTGATGTTGAGGTCGATGACGCCCGCGGGTGTGGTCGGATCAACCACCATGCAGTCTGATGACGTAGAGAATTGCGCCTGCCCATGGTCGTGCGGCGGCAGAGCACGAAAATCTGGTGTGCCATGTGAGACGGACGAGCTCGGGGAACGGTGTTGCGGGGGTCGATGGGCGGACGAGCTTGTGCTGGCCGCGGCCACGGCAGCGGTCGAGAGATTGGCCAGCGTGGCGCATGCCATACCCATCATGAGCAGGGCGTGCGCCTTCGAGACGATGGACTCCTTATCGTCAATGTCGGCCTGGTGCTGCATCGCGCGCCGCAGGGTGCACTCGGAAGCGTACTACGCGGCGGCCTTTTTCTCCTTTTCCACAGCTCGCCGGTCCCTCCTCTTGGCTGATTCCTTGTCGATCTTGGTGGCCTCCGCCGGCGTGAGCTCCGACCGAGGCTTCTTCTTCACAGGCTTCGCCACGTGCCGGGCGGGAGGTGGTGGGTCACCGGGATTCGCGTCATAGGCCATGGTGGAGGGAAGGGGAAGGGCGGGGCGCGGGAGAGTGGAGGGCGGTGCGCGGGAGGGTTTTGGAGGAAAGGGGGGGTGGCCGGGCTGTGCCACCGACGGGCGGCCCAGGGGAGGACAAGGGCGCGCGTCTCGCCCGCCTGCGCGCTATCCGTTCGGCCGCAAACTCGGCTCAAACTTGGGCCGGGAAAGGATTGAAAGCGGACATAAAACGGACCGTCGTCCGTTTGCGGCCGCACGTTGGGAGGTCTGCTGTGTCCGTTTACCCCCAGACGGATACGGGCGGATAGGATAGGGTCGCGCGTTGGAGTTGGCCTTACTTAAGGTCCATAGGATCAGCTGCCATGCCATCCATGCAATCAAACATTTGCGTGGACCTCCATTTTCGTTAAACACTACACCGTGGCACGCAGAAACTGGACAGCAACCCCCTGTGAATGTGGTCAGATCACAGGCCAGGCTAACACAATCAAGTGGAATCAACGGCCCCTCCCATTGTTCTCTCCAAGGGTGTGGCTCCAGCTTCAGGATCGCATCTGAACAATAACAACAATCCGCTAACCGAGAACGAGAGAAACAATGAGATGCCACTCCTTGGTTTTGGCATCCAACCACGTTGATCAAAATGCTACATGATCAGGAAAAGGAATCCTCCGGTTCCCCGTGAATTATTGAAAGCGGCAAGATGCAGAGCACAGGTGTCCGGCCCGGTGTCACCGAACCTGACGAAGAATCCTGTTGCCGCGGGGCACCGAAAACTTACTTCCCACATCAACACTTGGCCGCCGCTGGCCGGGGCCGCTCGCCCGCCCAGTCCACGTACCCCGGAACCCAAATCCAAAATGCTCGTGGCTGTCCACGGAATACATGTGCAAAGCTCCTCGGGATATACTCTCGCTACGTACGTACAATCCTCACCCACCAGCCTGACAGGTGCCATCCAACATGAGCTAGTTTTCTCCGGTTCATGCATCGGCAGGTCGCGGGTCTTGACAACAAACCAAGAAAATCGTAAGGGTCAGAGCGTTTGACGAACGACATGTGCCTTCCCACTGGAAGGAACGGAGTCGCTGTACCGAAGCATCTTCTCCTCTCGCGGAGAGAGAGCATCATTGTGGCCGTTTCTTTCTTTGCCGCCTCCTCTTCTCTTCTTCTTCACCAAGCAGGAATCCAATCTAGATGGCCTCGAAAGACCTCGGCGTCGTGTTGCCCTTGGCGAGCTCTTCTTTCCGGCCGGCTCGTGCGGACGACGCAGAATATCGCAAAGCAGCCAACCTTTTCCCCAAAGTGCGTGCAGGGTGGGACAAAATGGCTGCACCGCTCGAGGTTTCCAGATGCGTGGTTGATCGACCCAGAGATTCGAAAGCAGCCACGAGGACCGTCGATAGATAGAAGAGAATCGCACAGAAAGCAGCGCCAATTTCTTTTTGGAACTTCTCTGTTCATTTCCTGGTCTGAACTCTAGAGAGAAGAGAAAATTACAGTCGACAGGGATGGAGATCGAGGAGATTGAGACCACATAGCCCCATCTCCACTCACAGCCACGAATCCACCGAGCATTGTCACGAAGAAACCAAGAGCCGGAGTAAACAAATTGCAATCGAAAGAAACATAGTACTGCTAGTTTCCTTTTGTTATTTATTCCAAGAGAAAAAAGTTGAAAGAAACAGTGGACTGACGCATGGGAAATAAAAAAGATGGCGCCAAAACAAACTCCGGCGGTGAAACTAAACGGCGACGAGACGCCCGACGACCTCGCTACGACCATGAGTGACACGATACAACATCACCGGCCGGTTCGACCGGTGATAGATATAGAAAGAGCTCGCCCTCACACGGTGAGCCCGCGCATGAACTCCCACTCCTCGTCATCATCCTCGGCGGCGCCGGCAGCCGACCCCTCCGAGTCGCTGCTCATGCCGCTCGACTCCGCGCCGCTCATGGCCGAGGCCTCCTCGGCGTCGAACGACAGGTACGGCATTGACCCGAACGCCCTGGCGAGCGCCGCGGCGGTGGCGCCGTCGTCGGTGGTCCTCTGCTTGAGCACCTCGAACATCACCTCCGGCTCGTGCTGCATGGCGCGGAGCACGTCGGCGCACGACGGGCCTGGCGCGGCGCGCGTCACGGCGAAGCAGTGTGGCCCGTCGCTCTGGGAGACGCGCACCACGCTCGGCCCGCCGAACAGGTTGTGCAGGCCGCCCAGCGCCTCCTGGTAGGCGCCGCCCAGGAACATGCCCAGGTAGTAGCCGCGGGTGCCGTGGGTCGGGAGCTCGTGCAGGGGGAGGCTGCTCCTGCCGCCGATGAACTGGTCCACCTTGCCGTCGCTGTCGCAGGTCAGGTCCGAGAGCACGCCGTCCACGGCGGGCCGCTCCTGGAGGCGCTGGATGGGGATGATGGGGAAGAGCTGCTCGATGGCCCACATGTCCGGCAGCGAGGTGAACACCGACAGGTTGATGTGGTACCTGCGCGGCCCCTCCGCCGCGCCCATGCCGCGGGCGACGATCTCGCAGAGCCCGTCCACGGCGGCGAGGTGCTCCAGCCCGAGGACCCCCTCCTTGAACTGCTCGGCGCAGCGCCGCTTCAGCTGGTCGGCGTACAGGCCGCAGGTGTCGAAGTCGCCGCGCACGGCGGAGGCCATGAGGTTGCGGTAGTCGCTGCGGCAGTCGTCGGTGAGCTCGTCGAGCAGGTAGGCGGTGGCCGGGTCCATCATGTTGGAAGCCGGCGCCGTCGCGGAGAAGGCCTCGAAGATGAGGACCGAGTGGTGCGACACCAGCGCGCGGCCGCTCTCGCTGCAGATGACAGGGTGCTGCACGCCCTTGCGGTCGCAGACGCGGCCGACGGCGGCGACCACGGCCGCCGCGTACTCCTCCAGGCTGTAGGCCACCGACATGTCGGTCTGCGCCGAGTGCGTCCCGTCGTAGTCGATGCCGAGGCCGCCGCCAACGTCAATGACGCGCATGGCCGCGCCGAGGCGGGCGAGCTCGCAGTAGATCTGCGCGGCCTCGCCAACGCCGTCGGCGAGCAGGGCGGTGGTGGGGATCTGGGAGCCAATGTGGAAGTGCAGGAGCTGGAGGCAGTCGAGCATGGCGAGGGCCTTGAGCTTGGCCACCACGGAGAGAATCTGCGCGGCGTTGAGGCCGAACTTGCCCTTCTCGCCGGAGGTGGCGCCGAAGTGGCCGGCGTGCTTGGTGCGCAGCTTGGCGCGCATGCCGACCACCGGGCGGATGTTGAGGCGGCGGCTGGCCTCGACGACAATGTCGAGCTCCTCCTCCTGCTCGAGCACGATGACGGTGTTGAGGCCCATGGTGCGGGCGATGAGCGCGAGCGAGACGTACTCGAGGTCCTTGTAGCCGTTGCAGATGAGCAGGGCGTCGGGGCTGCCGCGGGCGACGAGGCAGCTCATGGTGAGCAGCAGCTCGGGCTTGGAGCCGGCCTCGAGGCCGAACCCGAAGGGCGCGCCGAACTCGACGATGTCCTCGACCACGTACCGGTCCTGGTTGCACTTGACGGGGTAGACGCCCTGGTACCGCCCGGCGTAGCCCGTGGAGCGCACGGCGTAGGCGAAGGCGGCGTTGAGGGTCTCGACGCGGTGGCGCAGCACGTCGGGGAAGCGCACGAGCAGCGGCAGCGCGAGGCCGAGCCCGCCGCCGGCGCGCGCGCCGGCCGCCCGGGCGACGACCTTGGCGAGGTCGATCTCCTGGCCGGGGAGCGTGGCGGCGCCGTGCGGGCGCACCGCGACGTCGCCGTCGTCGTTCACGAAGAAGTAGGGCGCGCCCCAGCCGTCGACGTTGTAGAGCGCCGACGAGAGGTCGGCCGACCAGGCGGCCATCTCGGGCTTGTCGGCAGCAGCGGCCGCGGCTACGGCGACGGCGGGGCCCAGCAGTGGCGCGGCCGCGAAGCGCGGCGAGGCGTCGCCGCACGCGGGGAAGGCGTGGGCCACGGGGGCGGCAGCGTCGACAGCGAGCGCAGGCATCTCGTCACGGAATTAACAACCGGAGAAAGCTAATCCACTGGGGGGAAAAGTCAGAAATTTTTCTGTTTCTTTGTGCCGTATGCAGTCAGGAATTTCTCTGCTATTCGTTTCTGGCGGCGGCGGCGATGAAAAAATCGAAGAAAAGAATTGTATGAGGCGAAAAGGGGCTGTAGATCGATCGACGAACAGCGAAGAAGAAAATTACGGTGAAAAAGTCAGTAATTATAAGAATCGAAATCAATCTAGGGTGATGAGATTCCGAGGATTACTGATGCCAAAAGAGGAAGTTCTGGAAGGGGAGGTAGAAGAAATCTAGGACGGGATTTTGGATCCTGTTGTAAGGAAGGGGGCTTAGAAAGCCGCCGAGGCCGGAGCCCCGGCTACCCCCGCAAAAGTTGCAGGCGGGCGGGGGGCGCGCGGCGGGGAGGGTCGCGTCGCCGGTTGTGGAGGCTGGGCACCCCACGCCGGCGTTCAGTCGGATGTGGAGAGACCGCGGGGGCGACGGCGGCGCTAGGGTTTGCTCTTGATCGCTCGCTCGCTAGGAGGAGGAGGATGGATGGATGGATCGATCTGCTGGGATTGATGCGCTGAGGCGAGGCGGGATGGGAGAAGGAGCGAGCGTTGCTGGCGGTGGATGGGTTTGCGGCTGTGCGTGGCGCCGGCTTTATAGGAGGCCCGCAAGGCCCGTGGGGCCCATCCCGGGCCGGGAGAGCCTCCCCCGGTCACCCATCCTCCTCCTTCTGTTGGTGTTGGTGGCGTACGCGAAGCAAGGCGTGAGATGGATGAAAAAAACTTGGCGCTTCCGTTGAGCCTTGGCGTCCGCCAGCAGTGAACGAGCTCGCGAGCGGGGTAGGTGCGGTTTGACCCCGCCCGCCCTCCCTCCCGCGGGCCCCGCGCGTCAGCGGGCGGACGGAAGGCTCCTGCCGCGCCTCGTGGCTGCGCCGGCCTGACGGCGCTGGGGAGTAGCGGTAGTTGGGTCGCGGACAGGGCCCGTTAATTGCGACCCATGCCCTTGGATCCACCCGTCGGCTTGACCGGACCTACGAGTGGTGGGGGTGGTTGAACGCTTCCCCGCTCGGCCCCTCACGTTCTTTGGTCCCTCCTCGTTCTGCGCCGTCCGTCGGGGGATCCGACGGCCGGGCGCGCCCCAGATCGGACCTGTGCCCGGCTTTGTATGCGGTTCATTCGCGAGCGGCCCCGGGATCCGCCGGGTCCTCACGTCACGTGAGGCCGGGCGGGCAGCGTCGCAGGGGCGTGGGCCAGAATCAGGGCGCGTGCGGGGTCAAGGCCGCGCCGCGGTCAGTCAGTGCGTGTGAACCGCACAGGCGGATCGTGTGGGCTTTCCCAGCGCTGCCACTCGTTTTGACCTAGCGAGGCGCGCCCGCCCGCCCTCCGTTCGTTTGGCTTTTTCCATTTCGGCCCCCCTTCGCGGCGGGGGGTTTCAACGGGAGCGGCGGAAAAGAACGCATGGGGGGATGGCGTTATCTTTTCGGTGATGACTGATGACACGCACGCACGGGGGTCTGGGGATAAGGGGCTTTGAACTGCGGGGGGAGAAGAGAAATGGCATTGTTCGCATTGGAATTCCACTTGGTTGGTGGGCTGCGATTTTTGGATGGATTGTTGCGCGCCGGGGATAGGGTTCGTAGCGATGTATGCTCACAAGTGGAAGATATACGGTGTAGAAAAATTGCTTGAGGACAAAACAAGCTGCCGAAAAATGCACCTTCAAAGCCCAAGGACCAACATTTTATCTGCACTCTATAGCTGGCCAAACGGGCCGGCACGGCCCATCCTAATCGTGCCTGGCACGGCCCGGCCCGGCAAGGCACGATTATTATACGGGCCGTGCCGTGCCAGCCCGCGTGCTGCAGCCTGCAGCCCAGGCACGGCCCATATGCTAATCGGGCCGGCCCACCGGCATGCTAGGCCCGCTAATCTGTCTCCTATTTTTCGCACTGGGCGTTTTTAACCTGTTTTTACCTGTTGGGCCACATTAGGATACATAAAAAAATAAAAAAAAAGATAATCGGGCCGTGCCGTGCCGGCCCACGTGCTCGGCCTTCAGGCCCAGGCACGGCCCTTGGCGTGCCGCGTGCCGGGCCTGGCCCGTTTAGCACGTGCCGTGCCGGCCGTGCTACCGGACCGGCCCAGCTATCCCGGCCCGTTTGGCCACCTATACTGCACTCATTGGACAACAGATTCATCACAACTTTCATCGAACAACCCCCCCCCC